CGCCCCCCCTCCGCAGACTTCCCTCGCCCCCCACCCCCATGCCTCCTCTCAGTCCCTCCTTCCCATCCTTATCTCCTCCACTGTGCAGTCTGTACCAGCATGCCCGCATGTCTTGGGTCCCTCCCCAAGCCCTGTCTGGTCCCTGCCAACGCCTGGGGCCATGACCCCTCACCCCTTCCAAGGGCTTTTCCCTGGGCGCCTCTGTCTGCGGACGCCACGCCCCCACCCTGCAGACTGGGAACAGGTTGCCCTGAGGCGCCTGGGGCGGCCACCCCTCACCCCCTGGCCCCCTTAGGCCGGAGACGCTTTGGGGGTGGGGTTGGGGGATGGGGAACATGTTTTTCTCCGTGGCGTCGAAGTCCGAGATCCGCCGCCCCCCCCTGCTGGGAATGGTTCCGCCTCAACCGGCGATCCCTCCCCCCCCCCAAACGGGTTGCCCAGGGCGCCTGGGAGCCAGACCCCACCCGACTCCTTGAACAGGTGGAGAGGGTCTTGCCCTCTGGGTGGCGCCCTCAGCCTAGGGGCTCCCGTGGTGTCCCTACTGCTTTGCTGGGTCCCAGCTCAACTGGTGAGACAGAAACAGGCTCTTCCTTTGGTTCCTGCCTAATTTTCAACTCCTCATTCCAGGTATGTTTGTGTCTTCTGGTGGGCAGTGAGGTTCCTTGGCGGGACCTGGCCCTCGGGGGGTTGGGAAAGGGTTCCTTTTGAAACAGGCAGGGGTCAGATAGAGCGCCCTTCACCTGAGCAGTGGCTTGGAGGTTGGCTCACTGCTCTTCTTGAAGGACTTCATTTAAAAGGACCTCGTTTTCTTATTTCCTGTTTTAGATCCTGAAGAATCTCGGTTACAACCGACTTGTCCTCCAAATTGGTAAAGGCACAGTGGTCCCTGAACCATTCAGTACTGAGTCATTCACTCTGGATGTTTACAGGTATAAGGATTCTTTGAAAGAAGATCTTCAGCAAGCAGACCTTGTCATCAGCCACGCAGGTAAAGGGTCTGCGAATCCCCGGTTTCTGTCTTTGATTTTTTTTTTTTAAAAAAAAGACACTTTAACCTTTTCAGACTGAATTTACAAGGACTACAGGTATAACTCAGGGTACATGCATAGCATATGAAAAGCCCTGTGACCAGTTCTTACCACTACAAAAAAGAAAGCCAGGCTCCATGTCTCATATCTGTAGTTCTAGCAGTTGAGAGGGAGAGGTGGCAGCCAGCCTGGGCTACCTGAGACCTGTCTTAAAAATCTGTAAGTTGCTGCGCAGTGGTGGCACACGCCTTTAATTCCAGTACTTGGGAGGCAGAGGCAGGTGGATGGATCTCTGTGAGTTCAAGGCCAGCCTGGTCTTCAGGATAGGCACCAAAACTACAGAGAAACCCTGTCTTGAAAAAGCAAAAAACAAACAAACAAAAAAAACCCCAAAACTGTAAGTTAATTACACAGAATAAATTCATCGCAGCTCTGTTTTAATGTAATTATTTGACTTGAATACATCCATTGGGCAAAAGAAGGATATGAAGTTATTTTAGCCCAGTTTCTATAAGAAACTAAACACAGGGGGAAAGATAATGTATGCAATTATGGTAACAAATTGTGAATTTGAAATTAATATTTGGGCTTAGATCTAAAGGACATTAAGCCTTTTCAGTGGTAGGAGTGGGGTTGTAGAAACTGCCATTTAAAGATTGTCTTTTTTAGCATTTCTGTTGAATTTATGTAAAATAGATGCAGTAAAATATTTTTATATAGCATATATGGTAAGAAAATTAAAAATTTAGTTTTGTAAATTGTATATTCAGAGACAAACTAATAACATTTAGAAAATATATCTTATGCTTTAAATATTTTATATACATATTTTTAGTAATTTGTGGCCTTCAGAGAATCAAACTAATGGAGTTCCTGAGATTTCTAGTACTTTAGAAAAGCTGTTGTTGGGGAGCAGTGCAGTTTTGACTGCTATGGGTATTGTGGGAGACATGCTGGTTTTTTTCAAAGACTAATTTGAGGAGAGAAGACTCATTAGAAATAGACATTATTGGCCATGCGGCGGTGGCACAGGCCTTTAACTCCAGTACTTGGGAGGCAGAGGCAGGCAGATCTCTGTGAGTTCAAGGCCAGCCTGGTCTACAGAGTGAGATCCAGGACAGGCACCAAAAGTACACGGAGAAACCCTGTCTCGAAAAATATTATTGCTGAGCAACAGTGCAGATGCACTCCTTTAATCCCAGCACAGGCAGATCTCTTGAGTTCAAGACCAACCTACACAGTGGGTTCTGGGCTAGCCAGGGCTACACAGAGAAATCCTGTCTCCAAAACCAGAAAAACAAGAAAAGGAATAGACATTACTAAAATGTATAGCATAATCTTTATTATATAGTATGTTTATGTGTATGGCATTAGTCTTACTTTGAGTTCTTTATGTATGTTGCTTAATCCTCCTAAACTTGTGAGCAAAGTTATTAACATCCGTCCTCATCTTGTAGGTGAGGTACCGGAGACACATGGATGTTCAGTAATTCATAGTTGTAGATACATAACAATTTGACAATAGTCTGTCCTCTTAATTACCACCCTATCACATCTCAAAAAGGATTTATTTACTCTTAACAGTCCTAAATGCCATTTAAAATATCTAGGAGATTAAAAATATTTTTTAAATTTACTTGCCTATGTGTAAGGATGCGAGTGTGCCATGGCATGTATGTGAAAGTCAGAAGGCAACTTGTGGTTTCCATGGTGGGAATTCAGGTTGTCAGGCTTGGTGACAAGTATCTGCTAAGCCTCCCTAGCCCTCTAGGGGATTTCAAATTGCAAAGTTGAAGTGATCATAATGTATGCATATTCATGGTGATCTAGGCTTGGCTATCATGGGCATGGCACTTTAGGGATAAATACATAAGAACTGGTTTCCTGTATTAGTGCCTGTCACTATTATAGGCTAGCCTTTAAAAATAAAAAAAAAAAAATTAGTGCGTTTATTTGTTCTCTTCCCTCACCCTCCTTTCCTGTGTGTGTGTGTGTGTGTGTCTGTCAGCCAGCCTGTCAGCCTGTGTCTCTTGTCTTCTACCATGTGGGCTCTGGGGCCATCTTGAAAACTCTGAAATCTTTTTCTTAAACCACCTTTACTTTTTTTATGTGTTTCTCATGCGGATCTGATCGGTGCATGTGCATCTGTGAGCATGTGTGTATGTTTGGTGATGCATGTGTGTGTGTTGAGGCTAGAGGTAGACGATGGGTGTTTTTTAAGGATCTCACTATATAGTCTTGGCTTGCCTAGAATTCAGTATGTAGACCAGGCTGGCTTTGAGCTCACAAGGACCTGTCAGCTTCTGCCTCCTGAGTGCTGGGATTAAAGGTATGCTTCACTGTGCTCCCACTAGTTTTTAATACTTACTTTTTAGTTTTGTACTCCCTGGAGCTGGAGTTATAGGCAGGTATGAGTGACCCAGTCAAACTTAGGTCCTCTGCATGGAAGCAGTATATGCTCTTGAATTCTAAGCCATTTCTAAGCCTTCCACATTATTTTGTGAAACAGGGTCTCAATGAACCTGAAGTTCATCATTATTCATTCAGTTCAGCTCACCTGACAGGTTAATGAACTCCAGGGATTTCCTGTCTCCCTCCTCCCCTAATTGGTGTTACAGACTGAACTCAGCTTTTAAATGTGGGTGTCTTAATTCTTGCAGGGCTGTCTTTTCTGTTTGTATTTGGATAGAAATGAAGTAAAGTTGTCCAGTGGTGTCAACTAGGAATTTGGTAATCTCAGGGCTCTGGAGGTTGAAACAGGACAATAATGATAATGAGTTCAAGGTCATTCTGAGCTTTGTAGCAAGTATCAGGCAAGATTAGGCTGTAGACCTTCTATTCCGCTCCCCCACAAAAACCTGTCAGAGAAAAATAGTTGGTGTGGTTTTGTCTTTTTTGTTGTTGATACAGAGTCTTCCTGTGTAACCCATGATCCTTCTGCTTTTAATTTCCCACATGATGGGATTTGGGGCATGTGCTACTAAACTTGACCTACGTTTGTCATTTTGAACTTATTATTAAAAGGTTTAGTTTCATATAGTTTTATTGACTAAATTATTCAGTTTTCTTTTTTTTTTTTTCCGAGATAGGGTTTCTCTGAGTAGCTTTGCGTCTTTTTCTGAAACTCACTTTGTAGTCCAGGCTGGCCTCGAACTCACAGAGATCAGCCTGCCTCTTCTTCCCAAGTGCTGGGATTAAAGGCGTGCGCCACCACTGCCCAGCTAATTATTCAATTTTAGAAATCAAACTATAATGACAGAGTACCATAAGTTTAAAAAATTGAATTAATAAGTATTATTTTTGTAGGTGCAGGAAGCTGTTTGGAGAGTTTGGAAAAAGGCAAGCCACTTGTGGTGGTTGTAAATGAAAAGTTAATGAACAATCATCAATTGGAGTTGGCAAAGCAGTTGCACAAAGAAGGACATCTCTTCTATTGTACCTGCAGGTATACTAGAGACTGACTGGTTGATCTCTTCTTGTCTTAAATTCCTCCCCAGCAGTTATTACTCACCTGCCTAACCTTATGATTTTTACGTTTTTTCACACTCATTAATTATACTTTGATTTTTCTCAACTATAACTTCTTATTTGTCTTTAGCTTTGACTCTGTTCTGTGTTGTGTATTTCCTGTATTATGTATTATATGGGAATTTGAATGTATGACTGTGTATACGGGTTTGCGGATTTCCAAGAATCTTAGGTTTTCAGTATTGGAAGAAGGTGTATGCTTATATTAAGGAATAATTAATTAAGTTATTTTGAGAGTTCCATATATGTATATAATGCATTTTAGTTGTTAAAGATTGACTTTTAGTAAATCCATTGGAAGCTCTAAATTAAATATATTCATTTATATATTCTCTTCTACCTAATATAAAGTGCTTGGGTTACAGTAGTAAGCATTGTGTTTATATTATGGTGGTAGAATTTCTCATGGCGAACTATGCTACAAATAAAAAGACAGGACATTGTTATAGCTCTGCTAAGGAAGAATTAGGTAGACTTCAGGAGAGGCCTGACAAAGGATCTGATTTTGAGGTGAGTCCTAAATTAGAAGGAAGAACCAGACATATGAAGTTTAGAGACAAGGGAACTTGAGTTACAAAAGCCTTAACTTAGGAGTGAACTTGGAGTTTGGAATGCTTGAGGAACAGGGAAGACTGGTATGGTAAAAGCACAGTGACCAGGAAGGAGTGAATATGAAGCCAGGAGGGCATAGCTCATTTAAGAGTTCTAATTTTATTTTATGTTCAATGAGAAGCCACTGGAGCACTTTAAGCAAAAAGGGATCTTTGGTAAGGAATATTGTTTTTATCAGCATCGCAGTAGAAGCTTGAAGAAAAATGCTGTTTTTCTGTTAGTTCTTCTTGCCAAAGAAGCTTGCCAAAGGGCCAGGTCAGTAATTCCCAGTTGCTTGATTCTAAAAACTTTTCTAATTTGATATTTTAAAAAACTAAGTAACCTCATAAAGAAATTAATTGTATGTCTATATCTGTATATTGAAGTTAGAACATGGAGTGTCTTTGGGTTTTATTTTATTTTTGTTTCTTTCAGGCATTTGGTATATACTTGTATGCATTCATTAAATATGGAACACTTGTTATATGCCATGATTCTTTAGGCATTTGGTATGCACGCACGCACAGATGCACAGAGACAGATATATGTGTACAAAGCTTGATGTTCCCCGTGGGAGAAGACAGATTCAGTCAGTCACTATTCCAACAGTAAAATTGATGGTGTGCTCATCTCTATGATGGAGGAAAGGGAATGTTGTCTTGGTACAATGACTCAGAAGAAAAGCTAGAAATTATGAATGGTTCAAATAATTGGTGTGTGTGTGCCCTTAGGTAGTTGATACTGTTAAGTTGACAATACCACTTTAAAAGAGGAACAGATCTTATCTTCCTAACTACTATATGCGGTTAATATTTCTAGGGGCTGTTGAAAAGGATTTTCATTCACTTTTATTTCTTTGAAGATGGTCTCTATGTAGCCCAGGCTCATCTTGAACTCCTGATCCTTCCGAGTTTTTGAGATTATAGGTATGGGTCACTGTACCCAGCTAGTTAGCTGCTCTGATTTTTTTGTTTTTGTTGTTGTTGTTAGTATTATAAAAGAGAAAACATTGGTTTTTTTCTTTGTTTTTTTTTTTTTTTTTTTTTGTTTTTTGTTTGTTTTGTTTTGTTTTTCAAGACAGGGTTCCTCTGTGTAGCTTTGCGTCATAAAAAAAAAAACATTTATGTATATATGTG